GAATTCTATGCAGTAGTTAACAATGAGGCAAATATGTAGACATAGACAAGAAAATATTCCAGAGCTTTATTTAATATTGAGTAAAAACTGCAAGATGCTGAATATGATTCCATTTTTGTTCAGCATTTTGCAATTATCATTGTATATGCAGTGAAAGACTTAAAGAACATACAGAAAGCTGTCAGTAATGGTTACCCTGGAAAGTGGCAGTGAGGATGGGACATATTTTATCTTTTCACATTTCTATAAGGTTCATTGTCTTACAAAAATATTTTACTTTCTAAGTAAACAACAAACATCTAACTTTGGAAAAAGGCAAGGTGAACAATGTAAACACACAGAATTGGTGGCTTTAGAAAAGCTACTTTTTATCTCCATTTAAACACTTTGGATATTGTTGAACTTCCAGTCAAGATGGCGGCGTAGATAAACACAATCCTCCCACAACCACATAAAAGTTACAACTAAACTACAGAACAACCATCATTCAAAACCACCTGAAATCAAGCTGAATGGAAGTCCTGCAACTACAAAATTAAAGCAGCCACATTGAGACTGGTAGGAGGGGTGAACGGGCTGGCCCCATACCCATGTGAATCAACCCTGTGTGGCGGATAAAAATCAGGCAGATACCTCAGCTGTGATGGTCCCCCCTGAGGAGTGAAGGGTCCCCGTCCCACACCAGGCCCCCAGCTCAGGGTTCCAGTGCCAGGAAGAAAAGTCCCCGTAACTTCTGGCTGTAAAAACTAGTGGGGAATGAGATTGAGGAGGCTGAGGCTGCTGAAGCCCCAGGCAGCTCCTCTTAAAGGGCCCACACATGGATGTACTCGGACTCGCACCCTCTAGGCTCCAGGATGGGGGATGCAGCTCAAAAGGTACCAGAGACATACAAAGAAGAACTGAGTTGTTGCCATGGGGGTGAGGACTGGAGAGGCAGCTTTATCCTGGACAGATATGCTGTCAGAGGCCTTTGTTCCTTTGGTGAGCCCTTCCCCAACAGGGCAGGCAGAAGGCCGCCATATCTGGGGTTCCAGCAACCTGGCTCACACTGTTTGCCCCACCCTGGTGATTCCCTGAGGCCCTCCCCTACACAACTTTCAGGCCCACTCAAGCTATTGCCGGTTGCTTTACCTAAAGGAATGGCCTCTCTCAGATCCTGCTTCAGATTTTCCTAAATTCTTTCAAACAAGCAGAATCTGGTCTCAGCAAACCCCATACCTCTCGTTAACTGGCCCCAGGTCCAGCACTAGAAGCAGCCAGCCTTGGTTCACAACTTGGCTTTTCGCGGGCACCTCAAAACCCAGCGCAAGAAGCAGCCATCTGCAGACTGCTCTGTAGCTTATGCCTGGTGGCTCCAGGAAGAACACCAGGCAGTGGCTGAGCTTGCCGTAGAGTCAGCACACCCAGTGGACAGCTTCAGAACACTGCAAAGCACCACTGCCCAACCACCTTGACAAGTGACACACTCAAGGAATGAACTTAGTGGGTATCAGAGCCCTGTTGAAGAAAGTCTTGCTCTGTGTGGTGGGCCCCTGCACAGCTGATTAGCAGTTGGTAGATAGTGGGCACAACTAGTCCTTGTAGCTGATCAGCCTGAGTAAAACTCTCTCATTGATGTGCCAAAAGCAATCAAGACTCAATTACAACAGAAGGGTGTAAAATCTACATGAGGGGTGCACCTTGAGGGCCCAGCTAGGAGATCAGGGAGGCTGTGCCACTGGACCTACAGGATACCTACTACAACAGGCCACCCTAGGAAGCCCAGGAGATATAGCAACTCTACCTAATACATAAAAACAAACACAGGGAGGCAGCCAAAATGAGGAGACAAAGAAACAGGTCACAAATGAAAGAACATAACAAAACTCCAGAAAAAAAAACTAAGCGAAATAGAGATAAGCAACCTAACAGATGCAGAGTTCAAAACACTGCTTATAAGGATGTTCAATGAACTTAGTGAAAATTCAGTGAACTTAGTGAGGACCTCAAGGCATAAAAAAGGACCAGTCAGAAATGAAGGAGTCACTAACTGAAATAAAGAATAATGTACGGAGATCCAATAGTAGAGTAGGTAAAGCCAAGAAGCAAACCATTGATATGGAATATAAGGAAGCAAAAAACACCCAATCAGAACAGCAAAAAGAAAAAAAAATAAAAAATGGGGATAGTGTAAGGAGCCTCTGGGACAACTTCAAGCATACCAACACTCGCATCTTGGGGATGCCAGAAGGGCAAGAGAAGAATAAGAAATCAAAAACCTATTTGAAACAATAATGGCAGAAAACTTCCCTAACTTGGTGAAAAAAATAGACATAAAAGTCCAGGAAGCACAGAGAGTCCCAAACGAGATGAACCCCAAGAGGCCCATACCAAGACACATCATTGTCAAAATGCAAAAGGTTGAAGACAAAGAGAGAATCTTAAAAGCATCAAGAGAAAAGCAGTTCGTTACCTACAAGGGAGTTCCCATAAGACTGTCAGCTGATTTCTCAAAAAAAAAAAAAAGCTTTGCAAGCCAGAGGGGAGTGGCAAGAAATATTCACAGTGAGGAAAAGCAAGAACCTACAACCAAGATTACGCTATCCTGCAAAGCTGTCATTTAGAATTGATGGCCATATGAAGAGTTTCCCAGATAAGAAAAAGCTAAAGGAGTTCATCACCACCAAACCATTATTATATAAAATGTTGAAGGGTCTTCTTGAAGAAAAAGATAAAAAATATGAACAAACAAAATGGCAATGAATATATATCTATCAACAACTGAATCTACAAACAAAATGAACAAGCAGAACAGAAGCATTCTCATAGATACAGAGAATATTTCATTGGTTGCCAGATTAGAGGGGAGTTGGGGAAATGGGTGAAAAAAGTGAAGGATTAAGAAGTACAAATTGGTTGTTAGACTGACAAACCTCAAAGGGAAGGGGGGTGGGGGGGTGGGAAGAAATAAACCAAAGAACTTATATGCATATATGCATAACCAATGGACACAGAGAACAGTGTGGGGAAAGGCAGGAGGGAGGCAGGAGTGGGGAGGAGGGGCTCAATAGGGGAAAAAGGAGGAACATCTGTAATATATTCAACAATAAAGAGAAGTTAAAAAAAATTAACACTTTGGGTATGGTTAATAAGTTTATGACTTCTGCTGTGATAGTGAAAAAACAGTATGAGATGCCTTTTCCAAAACAAAATGTCAAAGAAAGCCTAAAATACTCTAAAAGAAACTAATGAGATCAACATTGGTAACTACCTCTTGTCTCTGTTTATGTCTTTTTGCTCTACGTTTTGTGGATTTCCTTTCACATTACTAATTCAATCAGTGACGTGTTATTTTATGAATTGTGTTGAATTTTCTGTTTTGACTGTCATGCCTTTTAACCTTTTTTTTTTTCCTCACCCGAGGGCATTTTTCCATTTTTTGTTCAGATAGAGTGGGAGGGAGAGAGAGGAACAGAGAGAGAGAAACATCGATGTGAAGGGACACATCGAGTGGCTGCCACCCGCACGACCAACCAGGGCCGGGGACAAACTGCAACCAAGGTACGTGCCCTCAGCGGGAACCGAATCCGGGTCTCTCGGGACCGCAGGCCGACGCTCTAACCGCTGAGCCAAACCGGCCAGAGCCCTTTTAACCTTTAAGAAATCTTTTCTGCTCTGATTTCTCCTTTGCATGGAGGCTCTTATGTGTTCTCTCTGAATCTAAGGATTCAAGCTAAAGTTTTAAAAGTTTTGTTTCTTACATCATCTACCTTTCCTCTGAGGTCAAGAATTCATTTTTCTCACTTTAGTCTTTCACATTCATTTTTTTCTGACTTTCCTCATCTTCTAGTGATCTTTATGTGTTGTTTATAAATGAAGAACAGCTGATTATGGTATGTGGTCATCATAAATTTCTTGTATCTCTGTTGTAGCTCTGTGTCATGTTTCTCCAGCACAATCTCCCTGCTCCTCCATTAGCTGGCTGACTACCATCTCTGATTAAATGGAAAAAGAACACAAAAAGACTTATGATCCATGAACAGGCAACAATATATAAAGAAAGGAGTCTTTGTCATAGCGTTGAAGGGCATTTGTGTTTGTAAGAAGCCCTTAGTATATTTATAGAGCATCTCCTAATAGATATAAAAGTAGTCATGGTTTTAGTGCAAAGACAAATCCTTCATTGAAGAGGTTGTATAGGAGGACGGGGTTGCCTTTAGCCATCACATCTTCTTAGTCTCCATCAATGTGACAATTTCTTAGTCTTTCCTTGTTTTTCTATGATCTTGACACTTTTTTTTGTTTTAGTTTACCAAAGTTGTATTTCTTTAATTAAAAAATGGTGGGGGGGCAGTATTTAGCCCTGTCCATTTTTTAAAATTCAATTTATTGGGGTGACATTGGTTAATAACATAAGTTTGATACTTTTAAAGAATAGTGATTAGTTATTTTGTAGAAAAAACCCCCCAATTTGACTTATTCTGAAATATTTCTAATACTAGACTAAGATTATGCATTTTTGCCAAGGTGATGCTAAACCCAAGATGACACAGTGAGAGTGCATCATATCAGGAAGTACCTGAAGTTAAGATGTACCCATACTGGTTGACTCTGAAAACATAGGTGGTATCTGCCAGAATTCTCCACAGTAATTATTTTTCCCTTTGTAATTAATTCATGTCTTTCAATGAGATACTTTGATGGGATAAAAGAAGCAAGTAAAGAATGACCTCTTTCTTGTCATACTTTCATCCAGAATTTTTACAATCCATGAATGTTATTGCTACCAAAAATTATTTTTGTAGCACTGGCCAAATGGTGATGTTCTATTTCTAGTATTCTTTCTACATTTATTTATTGGAATTTTACTATAAGAAAGAGCTGTCCTTTACCCTCATTTAAAATTTTTTTAACTTAATTTTTGTTATAGATGTTTCTCCTTTTCCCCCCACTGATACCCCTCCCCCACCCTCCCCGCCCTGTCTTCAGCTTTGTTGTCCATGTCCATTGTTCATGCATACATGCATATAAGTTCTGTGGTTTATCTCTCCCCTCCCACCCCCTCTTCTGGGGATTGTCAGTCTGTACCCCACTTCCACATCTCTGGGAATACTCTGTTCCTCAGATTGTTATGTTCATTATATTCCACAAATAAGTGAGATCATGTGATATTTGTCTTTCTCTGTTTGGCTTGATTCACTTAGGATAATACTCTCCAGTTCCCTCCATATCATATCAAAGGATGAGATCTTTCTTTCTTACAGCTGCATAGCACTCCATTGTGTATATGTACCACGACATTTTTAACCATTCATCTACTGATGGACATTTGGGCTGTTTCCAGATCTTAGCTATAGTAAATAGTGCTGCTACAAACATGGGGGTACATATATTCTTTCTGATTGGTGTTCCAGGCTTCTTAGGGTATATTCCTAGAAGTGGGATCACTGGGTCAAATGGAGTTCAATTTTTAATTTTTCAGGTAACAACATAGTGGCTGCACCAGTCTGCATTCCCACCAGCAGTGTACTAGAGTTCCCTTTTCTCCACACCCTCACCAACATTTGTTGTTTGATGATTTGTTGATGGCGACCATTCTGACAGGTGTAAGGTGATACCTCATTGTTGTTTTAATTTGCATCTCTCTGATGATTAGTGATGTTGAGCATTTCTTCATATGTCTTTTGGCCATTTGTATGTCCTGTTTGGAGAGGTGTCTATTTAGTTCCTCTGCCCATTTTTTAATTGGGTTCTTTGTCTTCCTTTTGTTGAGTTGCATGAGCACTCTCTATATTTTGGAAATTAACACCAAAGTAGCAGGATGCAAAATTAATGTCAAGAAATCAACGGCATTCTTATATACCAATGATGAACTCACAGAAAGAGAAACTAAAAAGACAATCCCATCTACCATTGTGGCAAAAAAATTAAGATACCTAGGAGTAAACTTTGTTTTTTTTTTATCCTCACCCGAGGATATTTTTTCCATTTTTTGTACAGATAGAGTGGGAGGGAGAGAGAGGAAGGGAGAGAGAGAGAGAAACATCGACGTGAAGGGACACATCGAGTGGCTGCCACCCGCACGACCAACCAGGGCCGGGGACAAACTGCAACCGAAGTACGTGCCCTTAGCGGGAACCGAACCCGGATCTCTCCGGACTGCAGGCCGAAGCTCTAACCACTGAGCCAAACTGGCCAGGGCCCTAGGAGTAAACTTAACCAAAGAAGTAAAGAACCTATTCGCAGACAACTACAGGTGATTGAAAAAAGAAAATAGAGGAAGATAAAAAAAAGTGAAAGCACATATTTTGTTCATGGATTGGAAGAATTAACATAATTAAAATGTCCATATTATCCAAAGCAATCTATAGATTCAATGCAATCCCCATCAAAATACCAACGACACAGTTCACAGAACTAGAACAAATACTTCAAAAGTTCATATGGAACCAAAAAAGACCCCGAATAGCCACAGCAATCTTGAAAAAGAAGAACAAAGTTGGAGGGATCGCATTACCAGATTTCAGGTTATACTACAAAGATACTGTAATCAAAACAGCCTGGTACTGGCACAAGAACAAGCAGATAGATCAATGGAACAGAATAGAGAACCCAGAAATGGACCCAAGACAATATGCTCATTTAATATTTGACAAAGGTGGCAAGAGCACACAGTGGAGTAAAGACAGCCTCTTTATAAATGGTATTGGGAAAATTGGACCTACATGCAAAAAAATGAAACTAGACCATCAACTTACACCATACACAATAAACTCAAAATGGATAAAAGACTTAAATGTAACTCATGGATCCATAAAAATCCTAGAAGAAAATGTAGGCAACAAAATTTCAGACATCATACACAGTAGAATTTTCACTGCTACATCACCTAAGGCAACAGAAACAAAGGAGAAAATGAACATGTGGCACTACATCAAACTCAAAAGCTTTTGCACTGCAAAAGAAACCACCACCAAAATGGAAAGGCAACCCACTCTATGGGAGAGCATAATTGCCAATGATACATCAGATAAGGGGTTAATTTCCAAAATATATAGAGTGCTCATACAACTCAATAAAAAGGAAGACAAAGAACCCAATTAAAAATGTTTTATATCATAGCTTCATGGATATTTATTTAATGCTATGGGTTATAATCCATTACTGGCATTGTATATTCTATTCATATAGCGCTTTAAAAATGACTTTTTATGGTTGATTTCAAATATGATTGTGTGTTCTAAGAAAACACAATCTGAATATTACTTTTTGGACATCTACTAAGATTTCCTTTGTGATAAAGCATGTGATTAATTCTTTTTGCAAATGTTCTTTGTATGCAAGACATAATGAACATTCTTTTTTGCTTTTGAATTTTTTGTGAACTATACATGCTTTTGAATTTTTTTGTGAACTATACAACATATAAAAGTGCACTGAATATAATTATATGCCCTTTGGCTTATTATAAAACACATACCTCTGTTACCACTATTCAGCTGAAAAAAACAGAATCTTGATAGGGACAGAAAAACATCCCAAGTGCTATGTTCCAATATGTCTTCCCTGCTCACCATCCCTCCCCTCCCAGCTCAAAGAAAACTGATGCTCCGATTTTGAGGTTATCTAGTTACCTGCTTCTCCTAATACATTTAATACTTAAGTATGCATTACTAAAAACTATTCTTCAGTGAAAAAAGATATATTATGGAAAAATGATTAATCAATTAATATCACACAAAAACAATTCAAAACAAGGAGTACTGTTAGAGACAAAGAAAAATGTATCATAATGATGAGGTTAAATTCACTAAGAATGTACTGTCCTAAATGTGTATGCATCTAATAACAAAACTTCAAAGTACAGAAACAAAAGTGAGAGAAATAAAAAAATAAAAAAGTTCCCACTCACAAAGATATTAACACCCCTTCCTCAGTAATTGATAGAACAAGTAGACAGCAAATTGGAAAAGATATAGATGTGAACAACTATTAACTGGACCTATTAGAACCCTACATATAAGAACTATAGAATCAATCTCTCTCTCTCTCCATATATATAATTTAAATGCATATGGAACATGTAGTATCTTGCTGAGTTTTAATTTCCATTTTCTTAACTAATGAGCATAAATACTTTCATGTTTATTGGCTGCTTGGCTATTGTTGTAGATGCTTTTGGGGTTCTGCCTTTAGGGAACCCTACCTAGAACAGCTGCTACCAGTATAGATGCATAGTCTAGAAAATGTCCTAGAGTCTGGCAAGCTGTAGTAGTGCAAATGTTAATACTTTCACTTGTGTTGAATGGGGATGTGAAAAGAAATGTCCTAGCCTGTGTAATTCTCTGGTATTTCTGAGCAATGATGAAGAGAATTAAGAATTAGGACTGTGGGACTGCGTTATTGCTAAGTATCACTGATTTATTGAAGAAAGAGAATGACACACTTAGGTCAATTAAACACCAATTTAAAGCACAGAATAAAAATTAAAGGGCAGCGCTCTGGCCAGGTGAATTCGATTGTTGGAGTGTCATTTTGTATACACCAAAAAGATTGCAGGTTCAATTTCTGAGCAGGGCACACACATAGGTTGCAGGTTTGATCTCTAGTCAGGGCACATAGGGGAGGCAACCAAATGATGTTTCTCTCTCACACTGATGTTTGTTTCTCCATCTCCATCTCCATCTCCATCTCCATCTCCCTCTCCCTCTCCCTCTCCCTCTCCTCTCCTCTACCTCTGTCTCTCCCCACTAAAATCAATAACCATATCCTTGGGTGAGGATTAAAAAAATCAAAGGGAAAACATGATTTAAGATTAGGAATGTGACTTAATTATAAGAAGGCTGATTTCTCAACCCACTGAAGTCTTCTATGTCAAAGTCAGGGACCTGAAAGAGAAGTGGGTCCCTGAGCCTTGGGATGATATTAGGGTTGATGCAATTGAGAATTTTGATCACCCAGATTATCCTCAATCCTTTTGGGCCTGTGGAAGGGGCCCACTTCCACTTCTTATGAAATGGGAACTCCAGCTTCCTTGATGAACAGAGGTTTCAAATGAGAAGGGAGCCTTATAATACTTTCCCTTTGAAGAATCTGACTTCACTTCACCTCCTGGGCACCAAAGAAGTAACTAGTCAAATCTCAGCATCTTCTCACTGGGGAAATCTTAGGCTTGCTAAGGGGAGGAGAGAGATTTAATGCTAATAGATGAAAGATAATGACAGAGTTGCAGCACCTGGCTAATAAGTACCACAGACATTTAAAGAATATGCCTGGAAGTAGATATTAAGGGTTCTGGGCCAGGGAAATGGAATATAAAGCTGCTTATTAGGGGAACTTTTCCATGACTCAGACTAAATGCCCTGAGCAAGGGACCTTCGAGTCAGTTTTTAATACAAAGTGAGTGGCTTTTGGAAACCCAAAGAGTGATGACCCACATTAAATAGAGATATGATAACTGGTGTTATAAACTATTCAAGAAGTAATAAAAACCTCAAAGAAGTGGGTATGCTTGATTGGAAATGTTACATAAGACCAAAACCCAGCTCACTATGTTCCTTGGAAGGGTTTGGAAGATGCTTCATTTACCAGCATTATTGAATAGCTTGGTAGTTACTGGTCTCTATAGGTGGGAACTTTAAAAGTGATAGTGTTATAGAAATGGAATCCCTTCTATAAATGTAGATGATATAATCCAGGAGTAGCAGAGATTAGCTAGTAGCACTTAATTATCAAGAGAATGGTGGAAATAAGTATTATGATAGGCAGTAGTTTTGAATGGCAACCAGTGGATGCCTGACCCACAGGGATTTATGGAGATGGCTCAGAGAACTTGATGTTTCTAGAAGCAAGATATATATATATATATAGTATATTACATGTATATACATACTGTATATGTATATATGACACATATTGGATGAGCAAAAAGATAAAGTTAGCTACTTCAGCGGAAAAATCATAATCCCTTGCTCAGTTCCTCCACAAGATACAGTTCTCATATCCAGAATTAATCAACTGAAAAAGAAGCTAGGGTTCACTTATGGCCACAGACAGCAGGAATACAGTAGAGGCTCACTTCATCTTTCTGGGATCTGGTTCTATGAGCTCTGAAATATACTGTCTTATATTAATGTATCACTCCAGCTTTCATTTGATTAGTGTTAATATGGTATAGCTATTCTCATCCTTTAACTTTTAAACTATTTACATTTAAATGTTTACATTTAAAGTGGTTTTGTTGTATGCAGCATATATTGGGTCCTGTTTTATCCACAATCTGACAATTGCTGCCCTTTCATTAGGGTATTTAGGCCATTTACATTTAATGTGATTATCGAGGATGACATTTAAATCTATTATCTTGCTATCTGTTTTAGATTAATTGGGAATTTTTGATAATTCCATTATCTCACTTATGTTAGCTTATTAACTATAACTCTGTTGTGTCATTTTTGCTTTTAGCAAAGTTTATAGTATACAACTTTAACTTATCATAGTCTATCTTCAAGTATTATTATACCACTTAATATATGGTATAAAAACTTTATAAAATAATTCTTTTATTTCTCTATTTTCTTCAATAGCTTTTGAGCTACTGTTATGGATTTTACTTTTACATGTTACAAAAATAATACATTGTTATAATTTTTGCTTTAAATAGTCGATTACCTTTAAGTACATTTAATAAACAAGTTATAGAAATTTACCAACATAATTTCCATTTCCAAGACTTTTCATCAGTTTCCATTTGTCTGAAGAGTTTTCTTTACCATTTTTTTGTAATGATGAATTCTTTCACCTTTGTTTCTGAACACATTTTTGCTAGAATTTCAGGTTTTTTTTTTCCTCCAGTACTTTAAAGCTGTTTCTTCACTGTCTTCAGGCTTTCATTGATTCCAGTAAGACAACTGTCATTTTCATCTTTGTTCCTCTGTACATAGTGTCTTCTGTTCTCCTGCTGCTTTTAGAACACTGTTTTTTTACTGACTTTATAAAAGCAATTTGGGTCTGGCTGGTGTGGCTCAGTGGTTTAGTGTTGACCCATGCACCAAGAGGTTGCCAGTTTGATTTCTGGTCAGGACACATGCCCAGGTTGTGGGCCCAATCCCCACTGGGAGGCGTGCAGGAGGCAGCTAATCGATGTTCTCTCATCAATGTTTCTAGCTCTCTCTCCCTCTCACATCCTCTCTCTTTAAAATCAATAAAGAAAAATTAAAACAAAGAAAGCAATTGTGTTATGATGTATCTTAGTGTAGTTTCCTTTGTGTACCTCATGCTTTGGATTCATTGAGATAGTTGGATCTGTTGATTTATATTTTTCACCAAATTTGGAACAATTTCAGCTATTTCTTTGAATATATTTTTTGTCCCCCTTCTATCCTTCAAGGGATTCAATTATACATGTATTAGATCACATTAAGTCCCGTAACTCACTGATGCCCTGTTCATTATTTTTCTGTTACTTTACTTTCTATGTGTTATTCTAGCTAGTTTTCTACTAATATGTCTGTAAATTGATAATTTTTTCTTCTGAGATATCTAATCTGTCACTAATTTCATGACATGGCATTCTTAATCTCAGACAGGGTAGTTTTAGTCTTTACAAGTTCAATTAGAGTATTTTAAAAAATCTCCCATGTCTCTATTTAATATGTTCCTGATTTCTTTTGTCTTCTTGAATATATGGAATTCAGCTGTAATAGCTTTAATGTGTTTTGATTTTAAATAATTTCATGTCTTCATCTACAAATTCTATCTTCATATTCATCTTCAAACTCTTAATTTTTCTCATTATGGGTTGAAAATATTTTGTCCCAGGTTGTAGCCTATTCTTTCACTTATTTAGCAGTATCATTAAAATAGAAAAAAAATTCTATTTTGCTAAAGACAAACTTATCTTTTTCATTTATGATTCAGGTTTCCCCTATCTATAAAATCTCTTATATAGCACAAGATCACGAAGATTTTATTTTGTATTTTCTTCAATAACTTTTATAGTGTTATGTTTTTGTTTCAACATCCATTTAAAATTAATATTTGTATAAAATAAAGAATGGGTAAATATATTTATTTATTTGGCTCCAGCATCATGTAGTACAAAAATTAAACTTTTTACTCTCTAGTAAAAAGTAACTCTCTTCAATGGATTGTCTTTGACCCTTTGCCAAAAAATTGTGTCTATATCTGGGCTATCTATTCTGTTCCAATAATCTTTAAGTCTATTCTTACATCATTATCACACTGTTTAGATTACTGCTGCTCATATTTTTCTATATCTATTCAACTGACAATTTTTAAAAATCTGGTGATATAGTGAATCAAATAGATTTTAGAATGCTGAACCAAGCTTTCATTCTTGGAATAAACCTGACTTGGTCATTTTTTTACATATTATTCAACTCAATTTGCTAACAATTTTTTTCTTTATTGATTTTAGAGAGAGAGGAAGGGAGAGGTAGAGAGAGATGGAAACATCAATTGGCCACCTCCTGCATGCCCCTCAGTGGGGATTTGGCCCACAAACTGGGCATGTGCCCTGACTGGGAATTGAACCAGCAACCTCTTGGTGCATGAGTCAATGCTCAACCACTGAGCCACACCAGCTGGGCAAATTTGCTAACATTTTGTGAAGGATTTTTTGTGTTTATGTTTATGAGAGTTATTGGTCTGTAGTTCTCTGTTCTTATATTGTCTTTGTCTGGTTTTGGCATCAGTGTAATGCTGACCTAAAATGAGATGGAAAGTGTCCCTTCCTTTCTATTTCCTAAAAGCGATTGTTTAGGACTGGCATGATTTCTTCCTTAAATGTTTATGGGACTTGCCAATGAAGGCACCTGGGCTGGATATTTTCTCTATAGAAAGGTATTTTAACTACAAATTCAATTTCTTTAACAGACATAAAACTATGTAGTTTATTTGTTCTTGAACAAATATTGCTAGCTCATCTTTCAAAGAATTTTTTCTTTCATTTAGGTTATCAAATTTATTGACAAAGTTGTTATTTACTTACCCTTTATTATCCATTTAATATCTGGCAGATCTTTAGTGATGTTCCCTCTGTCATTACTGCTTGAGATAATTTATGTCCTCTTACTTTTTTTCTTTTTCTGTCTGACAAGATGTTTATAAATTTTTGTATTCTTTGCAAAGAACCAGCTTTTGGGTATACTGATTTTGCCTACTGTTTTCAATTCCATTGGTTACGCTCTTTATTATTTCCTTCATTTGTCTTGTTTTTGGTTTAATTTATCTTCACACAATTAGATTATTGATTCAAAACCATTTTTTTTTTGTTTCTAAAATAAGGCATTACAGCTTATTTCTCTGTAAGCACTTTTTTTAGCTGCATTTTACAAATTTTGTGTTTTTATTATCAATCAATTAAAATATTTTATTATTTATTTTAAAAATGTTTTAAATTGTGCAAATACTAACTCAGATAGAACACCAGGTAAATAGGCATAAATCATGCTTTCCCCAGGCAAACTAGACATGCAGGCACCCTGTTGAGTTAATCCAGAGTAAAAAATATTTTCTAATTTCCCTGTGATTGCCTCTTCTTTGACCCATGAGTTATTTAGAAATATGTTTAATTTCCAAAAATTTGGGATTTTCAGATATCTTTCTGTTATTGAGTACTAGTTCAGTTTGTTTGTGGTTAGAGGATATATTTAGTCTGAATTCAATACTTTCAGATTTGTTGAGATTTTTTTCTAATGAATCAGAAAGTTGTCTATCTTTGTGAATGTTCCAAATGTACTTATAAAAATTTGTAGTCTGCTCCTGTTGGATGGAGTGTTCTTATTTTTATTTTCTTAAATGGCTATTAATTTTTTGAAAATAAAACTTCACAAAAGGAATATGTCACATGAGTTTAGATTCAGAAATCTGATAGTTCAATGTATGAGTTTGAAAGATCAAAAAAATTTTATAAGAAGTATTATAATAGTAAATAGTTCTTCATATGAACTTCATTAAGCACATGTACACACAATTAATAATGATATAAGAAACCAAGCACCCGCAATTAAATGCAGATAATGAATAAGTTACCTTTTTCACGCTTACCTCCCAATCTTTTCCCAGTACGATCCAATGACCCATTGTCTATACTCGTTTAGTCGCATTGGTTTTCTTTTAGTCTTTCCAAGCAGCCATGATCTTTTCTTACCTCAGGATTTATTAACATACACTCTACATGAAAAAATACTTTCTTCATCTTTTTATCTAATTTGTCTTCCACTTTTAGAATTAACCTTGAATTCACTTTTTTTCAGAAAGCCTTTTCTGACATGCCTTCAAAGATCAGGCCCTCCTAGTGTACATTTTTATGGCACCCTGTACCTCTCTTTCACATAACATTTTGTGACTAAAATAAAAAATATAAAGCCAGATAAGGTCATATTATCAAAGATGTTAAGACTTCTCAAAACGTTCAGAATCATCTATTCAAATAAGTTATCAAAATCAGACATGGAGTGGCCAGTTAAGCTGACTAGTGACTTAACTGAAACCTATTCTGAAGACTTCTCTGAAAGCAGAATTATGCCTTCAAAAGAACAATGAATACATCAATCTTTCATATTACATATCTAATCATAAATCCAAGGGGCTATAATTTATAAAATTTTTCACACAGAAGGGCATACACAAAACGAACCAAAATGAGAAACACCATTTTTCTGCTTTCATAGACCCAGGCAAATGGATAAGGTGTCTGTTTCTCTAAAACATTCCTTGCTTTAGAAAGGAAAATCCATATATAAATAATCAAGTTTGCTCAAATAACTTTCCTTTTCCAAATTAAATCTAAAAATTAATGCTTTAGAGTCTAATAGTTTCTTGAAAACTTTTAGGCAAAGGATTTGGGTGAAGAATGTGAGAGGAAAAGCTTCATCTTTCATGAACATTTGGAAACTTAATTTACTTTAAATAGCACTTGACAATATTACTAGGGCGCACTTGTAGAAAAATATACATTTCCTGGCAATGGAGTTGGAAGAGCTGCCTTCCCCATGTCTCTCAGGCCACTTTGTAAATTATGTGAAACACTTTTAGACAGACACTGGTACTCATAAATTATACAGCTCATTTGCATATTCTAGTCATGAGACATTATGCAAAGTGACACGATTTGCATAATGGATTCCTCTTGTCGCTTCACTTGCAGCCTGCTTTTAAAAAACAAAATGAAATAAAATGAAAGCATGAAAAGGTGAAAGCATTACATTCCCAGCCTTGCCTATCTCCTTCCCAACTATAGTATCAATTGCTTTCATTTCCTACAGGGGATTGGGGTGGAGGCGACAGAAAACAAAAATCTACATCCATACAAACAAAAAACCAAAGACCTTTCATATAAATTTTGTTCTTAATTATAATGCACCTACTTTTTAATTGAAATCCTTCATCATAAATAACCCGTCTGAGTCAAGGGAAATAGAAACAAACAAAACACTGAGATACAGAGAAAGAAATTATGGAACATTTTCATTAAGAAAATCTCCTTTGCCTGTGATATTTAAGGTAGGGTAGCCTTCCTCTCCTTGTAAATTAAAAAAAAAAAAAAAAAAAAAAAAAGCACCAGATATTTTCTTATTACTGGAAAAAAAGCATATTATGAATGAGATAAATGGTCTTGGGGAGGGATTCCCCACCCCTATAAGAACTTCTGAAGGGTTTTCCTGTTTTTAAAGAGGAAAGAAAGAGGAAAGGAGAAGAAAGGGCTGTGCTTTATTTTAAAAAATATAGAAAGGCTAAATATACTATAAGGATGAAACAGTACCACATCGACTTCTATCGGCTCTACTCCAATGAACAGGCAACATTCCCTCAGCAGTTGCTAGTTTTGCTACGGGCTTTCCCTGCCCCCCTGCACCAGTGCAAGAGGCAGAGTGTGCCAAGCGGCTGGCGTCTGTACCCTGTGGGAAAAGTTAACTGTAATTCTTCGGCTTTTAAAATCAATTAACCCGTGTGTTAATTAACGTCAAGTCGACGGGGAGGAGGTGGAGGAGGTGGAGGAGGAGGAGGAGGAGGAGGAGGAGGAGGAGGAGGAGGAGGAGAAGAAGGGGAGGGAGGGAGGAAAGAAAAAAGCTGCAAGGGCGGATGGCAGAAGAGTTGGCACAGTGCCATCCATTCAGGGGCAACGCCACAGTTTCGTGTGATAGCAGCAGCGGGTATATGTTACGGGGGCCCTGAATGCGGGCCAGACAGTGCGGTAGAGCCAGGGGAGATTATCCAGACCCCCAGGAGCGAACAGCAAGCAGCAACCGAAGGCGCAAGTGCCAGGATTACAGCCTAGGCTGCTCCAACTATGAACCATGCCTCGGACCCAGGGACTCGGCTACTTGGGGTTTGGGGGTCTTCCACACCAAACAGGCACAAAGCTGACTTTAATCACTTTTTTCCTTTAAACTTCATTCTGCCGCAGTGGAGCCAGCACAGTGGATGCTTTCACACCCAGCAAGACAAAGGCCGTCGTCTCCGCCATGACACTGTTCCGTTCCAAGCAGAGGCCGGGATCCTGGACTCCTTGAAAAATCAAAAAGAAACAAGGAAAACAAACAACAAATACAGCAACAAACAGAAAAAAATTAACAACCACCAAAATCGTGTGCCCGTTTGCCCATGCCAGGGGTGATCTGGGCATCTGTTGCAGCAGAAGGCGCTTGTGTGGGGCTATTTTTTATTTTTATTTTTGGCAAGCTGTTGTCTTGTTTGCTATTCAACTTTGTTTATAATTAACTTAAAAAACACCATTCTGCCTAGTCAACAACAAACAAAGAGAAAAAGCAGACATCGGAAGAAAAATGCCATAGGAAGCGGCTTGAATGCATGCCACAGCCGGTGCCACTTGCCATTCGGAAACCTCAGGGAAAGATGCCAATTCTACAGCTCGGAAGAAGGCAGAGAAGGGAGCATAAAGGTCTACAAATAGAAATCATAAAGAAAGAATACTGCTTGTATAATCCTGGATTGCAATTGCACACAGCTTCTGCTGGGAGAAGAGAGGGAATATTTAAATGGAGATATAGATGGGTATAAATTAAAAGATAGACACTTATTGATTGCATATAGACACATGTGTAAGGCTGTATGTGTATATGAATACACTTATCTTCAGAAAAATTAAACATTTAGATATGTATATATTTTTGTGTTATAGGTATGGGTATGTATGTAGGTGTATATGTTTAAGCATATACACACATATGTGGGATGTATGCATGTGTGAGAAAAAGGAGAGGAAGACAGGAGAGACAAGGAAATGTGCGTATGTACATGTACGTGTGTGCATACCTCCCACTTTTTGACCCAGGTATACACAGAAGACAAAATAAAAATCATACTCCAGCAGCAAGCAGGCAGTCAGAGATTTATCTACATTCACTGCTATCACCAGGGAGATGAATGGGGCCGATGTGAAGCCCTTTTACAAGATCCACTATGGGAGTGAAGGAGGAGGAGGCATGCCACACAGACATGCACAAACTTGAAGGCAGAGAGATTTGGAAGGTGCTACTTAGGAAACCCTGGTGGCATTATGCAAGGGAGAAGAAGGGAAAAAAGGCTGGTCTCTGTCTATATTTTAGTTGGTTGTTTAAAAAAAATCTGAAAAAGGGTTTCAGGAAACGGCTGGTACTTACGTTTTCTGCGTTGCTGTGGATCTTGAAAGGTGTTCTGTTGGCACCGGGCGCTGAGCCAGGGGCAGGCTCTGGAAACAAAAGGGAGAGACAAAAAAAAAAAAAATTAAAGTCACTCAATGGGAATATTAATTGCTGCTCTTGTGGATTTTACAAAACACATAAACTGTTTTCTTTTTCTTTTTTTTAATGTGGATTGGCGCGTGTCCCTTTCGCATGGAATATACAAGTAGTATGGGATTTACAGCCCAGTACGGGACTCAGGATTAACCGCGCTGGCATCTTTTTGGCATATTCTTCCTTTTAATGAATGAGCTTTCGCTGTTAATGAGGAATAATCGTTTGGCTAATGAGCTTTGAAACATTAAGAGAAAAGAGGTTTTTTCCGTTAATCGCTCTGGTGCGACTGCATGGATGGATTACAAAAGACAGCAATAGGAACGCAGTACAAAGGGGGGGGGGGCCTCTCCTGGAGTGGGAAAAGCACTGAGATGGGTGATGTGTCCCTGCATCCTTCCTTCCTTCCTTCTCTCTCTCTCTCACCCCTCTGCCAACTGCTATGGGTTTCCATAACTCCGAAATCAAAGTGGATGGTCGGGAAGGATTATTACAAAGAGTGAAGCCTCTGCTGTTAATGTCTCCAGTGTTTAATAATCATACAGTAGAATGGTTTTATGCATATTTCATTTGCATATCATTAAACTGTGTAGCGAGGGGCATTCAGAGCCATGAGAAGTACAAAGTTGGGGAGAGAGTGAAGAAAAAAAGGTCCCTATGATGCTTATCTTCAAACAGGGACTTGTTCCATGATCTGTCTTCTACTTTTTCTAAAATCATTATGACTTGGAAACCTTTGAAGTTGGATACAACCTTGGATTCTTCTAATTCCTGCAGAGCGGTGTATTTTTAAAAACAGCAGAAATGTTCCTGCACTAGACAATTAAAGGAATATAAACTCCAGTGGGTTGAAACTAGTAGCTCTTTGGGGAATGCAGTGGCAGAGGCTTCTACAAATACCAACACACACACAAAAAATAATTAAGAGCATCATATTAAAAGAATACGAAGACAAGAAATATTAACGTGGATTACATTTGTTTCTTTTGGGGGGTAGCGAACTAAAGAGAATGAAGAAGCCATCGGTAATTTATCCCTTCATTAATGAACAGTCACTTTTTTGTATGTGTTTGTTTTTGTCATTTCTTTTCGAAAAGTAATGTTGTCACTTTGGAAGCGATTAGTCAATTATTTTGTAGCTCTGATCTTTTTCTTCTACACCAGACAGGGGAGAAAGGTGGTGGTTAGGGAATATGTGTGTATTGGGGGGATTTGTGGGGAGAGAAGAATACAGTGAGTTCTTTGTAGATCTAATACATGCACAACATATTAATTGAGAGCTTTTAAAGCTCCCTCAATGGGCTGTTTCATTCTTGGTAAAACAGCAGCTGGTTAGACACTGTTGGTGACTCTTCAAATATCATTTTAAGTATTTTTATTCTGTCGCTGTTGTTGTCTTATTTTTCCTCAGTTAAGAATGAGTCTAATGTCACCCTTTTTTATTGAGTCTCTTCTTCCCTCCATCTTCTTCACTCTTAATTTCCAAACTGTAAAACACTGCTGATTTATTATTGAATCTTGGTGCGGAATGTAACTGGCACAACTTGATTTGGAAATGAGGTGCTGTTTTATATTTAAATTATCCCTGCTCCTCCCTTATTTTCCAAAGCTTTGTCTCGGCTATGAATATTCAGATTAGGCATGATGTGATTACACTGTACAATTATTCCTATCCATGGTGGTGGCAGGGGCTGCTCGGGAGACAGAGAGCCAGACAGCCTCCAAGCCAACACAGTTTGTTTTCAGTATTTTTCCTATCTCCTTGGCACTGCGGCACATGCAGATGTCGCTGTTGTTCTTTATAAAGCCCTAATGATATGCAAAAGCATAACGACTCAGTTTGGATGAAAAGCATCAATGAAATATTATGGATGTCTTTAAGAAAGAGGAAGAGAAAATCCTGACTGAAGGAATGTCCACATAAATTATTTTTATTTAAATGAATTCAAAGGATGGGGTGAGGGCAAGTCAGAAGGAGTCACATGGAAAACATGCATAATATTAATATGCATAAAGAGTTCTCACCAAGGAGAAGACACTCCTCACTACAGCTCATGGGACAAACTGGTTCATTAGGAAATGGTTCAGAGCGACCACAGCATTTTGCTATTTCATTTTTTCCCTTATTTTAAATGAAGAGTCAGACAGATGTGTTTTCTTTGCCTGGTAGCATCGAGATGGATCCAATTTGTGAAATTTGCAGCCCAAATGGCATTTCTAATGGAAACGGAACTAAACAAGGGCACGGACATGGAAGGGAGGGGAGAAGAGAGAATATATGAAGAGTATATTCAGAGCCACAGTATATTTTGTAGTACAGGAGGTTTTCAGAAACCATCTGTGCTTCATTAGTCTCAGATGGGGGCTCCTGTTGCAGGGAGCTATCAGGGTTTACCAAGATGAGCACTGAGACAGTCCTTTTTTAGGTCTGAGACTGAGGAAAGCAGCGGCAACTTGGTGCTTGTACCCCACCTCCCAGCTGTCTACAGCTCGGAAGCCAAAAGCACAGCTACTCCTAATGTGGGGATGCAGTAGAGTGCCTCCTGGTCCAGGTATTTGGGGCAGAGGGAATTCTTGGAGCTATCATAGTATATATTATTAAAGAGCAGATGGAATCGTCTGGGGTGTGTAAGCAGGCCTGACAATGATCATGCCAATTACTTCTCACGGTAAAGATACTGTGGTTTTCTAACATTTTCAGAATGTTGAAATTACCAGTGTGGATTAGTGCATGTTTACGATAGAGATGAACAAATAGTGAATAAGCCTATTGGAAAAATTCAGAACTGAGAAAAATATTCGGAACATTACTAAAGGCCTCAAGGGATTAATAAAGAAAACCAAAGCAAGAGCAACAGTCAGAAAAAAAGAGATAAAAATAGATTTCATTACTTCTCTTTGTCAGGTGGATATAGCTCAAATTACTTTAATAACTCAGGTTAAAACTGTTTTATATTTCTGTTTAAATTACTGAAAGACAAAGACTGTTTTGCTCTTGTCTGTATACCTACAAAAATGTCTACTTGATGGCATAATATTGACCTGGAACTAGTCTGTTTTTATATGTGAGCATATAAGCATGTTCTAAATTCTGTCAGTCTTTACCTATTAATTTCCAAAACTTCCACTTGTGAGTCTCCTTAACACACACACACACACACACACACACACACACACTTCAACTATTACATGAGTCTGAACTGGTACAGTATACCAAACTACTGAGTACAATGAGTTAATAATCATGTGGAGAATACTGTTTAATCTGAATCTGAATCAGGCCTTTAACCTCTTATCTTTTCTACCCCTGTTGCCAGAATTATGGCTATTAAATAATGAAACAATACATATAAAGTATTTAGCACAGTATTTGCACATAACACTCACTAAATAATGTTATATTTTATTGCTGCTATATTATTATTATTATTTCAGTGATTTATTTAGTATTTTAGGGAGATAAGGAAATAACATTCAACCTTTACTGCTAATATTAAATAGTGATGCAGGTAAAAGGTTTAGTAGGAAAACATTAAATAGGTATCCATGGTGAATAGATTGTGAATTATCAAAAATCAAAAATCAAACTACAGCTCATATTAATGCAGTTCATAACAGATCCATGAAAGGGTTCCTTTAAAAATGTGTGTATAATTCAGAAATGATGATTGTGTTGCATGATATCTATAGTCTGATAAGAGCTCTATCATGGTTTGTGTAGAGGGCTATGGTAACTGAGTGGGTGGTCATTATTTACGACATTGAGAGAGTAATGCCAACGTTCAGTCATTTTTTAAAACAGTGTTACTTTTTTGAATAGGTAATGCATTAACTGTTTTCAAGTGGCAATAAGTTAAATAATGTAGAAAGCAAAAAGTTTCCTTCCTCTCCCTATTCTAGCCATATATTTCTAACCTCACCCCAAAACTGGTAATCACTGTTACTGGTTTCTCATTTATCCTTTCAGATACTAGTATATTATATGCAGATATTAATAGGATAGTAACATATTTTCCCTCCCTTTTTTACACAAATGGTAAATTTTTTAAAAGTTTCATTATAATTTTCTGCAAGTATAATAATTTCATCTGTGAATAGATAGCTTAATGTCTTCATTTCCAGTAATCATATTCATTCATTTTTATCTTTAACTTGCCTTATTTCATTTCATTCATGAGGACATCTAGTACAATGTTGAATAGAAGTGGTGAGTGCTGAGACTAAACATTTTTTCTTTGCTTTCAATCTTAGGAGACATCATTACCTTATTCCTGAACTTAGGGGAAAAATAACTCAGTCTTTCACCACTAAGAAATATGCCTTTTATCAAGTGGATGAATTTTCCTTCTATTCCTCATTGCTAAGTTTTAAAGAAAAATCATTAATGGTTGTTAAATTTTGTCAAATGCTTTAAAAAAACAAAACAAAAAACAATCACAACTCAAAAGTTGTAAGCACGGTGAATTACAATCACTGGCTTTTATATGTTAAACCAACCTTGCAATCCTGGAACAAATCTCACTTGGTCATGATGTCTTTATTTTCATTATTATTTTTATATATTGCAATATTTGACCTGCTAATAATTGTTTAACAGTTCTGAATCCATGTTCATGAGAGATGATGATTATTGGTTTTGTGGAGAGAGTGGGAGAGAGAAAGAGAGAGGATTGATTTTTTTGTCCCACTTATTTATGTATTCACTAGTTGATTATTGTATGTGCCTTTACTTGGGGATCAAACTCGCAATCTTGGCATATCAGGATAATGCTCTAACCAACTGAGCTACCTGGCCAGGGTCTATAATTTTATTTTCTTGAAATGACTTTGTTAGGATTTTTATCATGGTCTTGTTGGCTTTATGGAATAAATTAAATACTATCCCCCTCCTCTATACTGAAAAAGTTTACGTAAATTGTTATTATTTTGTCCTTAAATGTTGGATAGAATACTCCTGT